TTAATTGTTAACACATTTACCTTCATCAGTGTTGTATGCTGTATTCATGGCTACATAACTGTTCCAATAGGTAAAGATAAATAATAGATATAAATTTTGACAAAAGTAAAACATGATATAGTTTATTGGATATTTAAAATTGAATTTCCTGAATAATAAAAAAGTCCAGCTGACATTTTCTATTTCTTTCTTTAACATTTTCGAATAGTTAATTTCATTGCATGTTAAAGCTTGAATGAAGAGATGAGAAACTTAGTATGCATTTACCAGTGCAATACAAACACAACAATTTTCATTATATTGAAAAAATAACTGTATTGGATATATTTACATGATTTTAGGCACACAATAAAAATACAAGTAGAAACTCTAAGAAAAAAGGAAACTATCTTTTTAATCTTTTCTTTAAAACATCATATTAGAAAACAAATTCTGAAAATTTACAACTTAAAATATTATACAAACACTAAACCAAATTACATAATTTTTTCAAGCACTAATTACATATTATATAGAAAGTGTGGGAGAAATGTTATGCAATTAGATTAAGCATGAGAATACAGCAAACAGAAGCGTCAGTGTTACTCTGCTGGCCTAGAAAGAATAAAGATTACTCAATATATGTTTCTTAATCTCAGAAAATTTTGCTATCCCAAAAGACTGATAGAAGTTTCTTTGCATCTTACATTAATTTATGCGTTATATATTCATCATAGCATTTTCAAAATTTTATTTTAAGTATTTTCATCAATAAAACCCTCACAAGATTGTTAAATATTTCTTATACAACAAGAAACTTAATTGCAATTTTAACAAATCAAAAAAGATAGTACCTGCCCACCAAAATCCCAGGTGCGAAATGTAACAGGTCCATAACTGGGTTGACCTCGAACTTTCTTCTCATACACCCAATCTCCAACATCAACACCAACTGTTGAAATACTGACACCTTTTGCTGTTTTCAAGTTGATGTGTTTGTTTCCCATTCGTTTAGCCCAATGCTACATAGCAAAATGAAAATCATGATTGTTTTAAATTATCTTACAAGCATAATAAAAATAACTTAGATACTTATCATCCCCTTAACCCTGTAACCCCAGGTATCCTTTACTGCGCATGACACAATCACATTCAAAATAGCATAAAATCTTAGCTAATATTACATATCTTAATAGAATACAAGTTTTAAGTTCCTAATTCTACAAGGAAATATATTTAAAAAATCCTGAATTTCCAGTAGTGTGACCCACATGACACAATTTGTCTTAGCATGTCATCATCCCTATTTTATCCATCACCCCTTAAAAAATGTATGAAATTAAATGTAAAATACTCATAATTGCTCAAACAAACCACAATTTTCATAGCCTTCACTTTTGTTTGGTTACAGAGCTATTAAATAGAAAATCAGACCCCTTCTGCCATACCCACCTATCACATCCTCTCTTTCACAATTCCTTTATAGTTCTTACGTTTCATTATAAATTACCTATAACCAATAGAAAGTCAAGGTTTTCATTTATCAAATGACGTATTGAATAAGGTTGTGTTCTGAACAGATAATTGTCAATTTCACGCAGAGTAGCAAGTGGGAAAGTTAACAAACAGCTTGGATAAACTTGTAATGTAATTAAATAAAAATTGTTAAGTGAATTAGTATAATTACTATAAAAAATCTGGCGTAACCCTCCTTGACAAGAGCAAGAAAAAAGAAGATTGGGTAGGTATTTCTTGTTTCTCATATCTATTCTTTATTTATTATTATAAAAGTAACTAAAATTAAAAATACGGATCTTTTTAAGTTATTTAAGACTAGATTAGGTAAAATAAGTAATAATAATATAATTAAAATGGTTTACGAGGCACGCACGCGAGCAGCTTGTGGGTAATGTAATTCGACAGTGTAATGTGAGCTGCTCGTTCCCCGTGTGATATACAACATATAATGGTGCAGATAGTAGTTAGACATGGTTCAAAGGGCAATAAAACAATAAAATTTAATTGTAAATAGATGTATGATGTTACGAACTTAGGGCTGCTTAGGATAAATGATGAATGCAGTATCATGTTACAATTTGAAGTCAAAGAAGAAAAAAAGGTTAATTTAGGATTATTTCGATTTTTTTTTTTTGGGGGTTATAAGGTAGGTCAAATTGACTGATCTCATTTTGAGATAGGATAGAGAAAATAAAAGATAAACTATAAAGTTTTACTGAAAAAACGTTTGAAATGCATTTCAGAGATTCTACGGATTACACAAAAGAAATTTGAGATTTTTGAGATGAGGAAAAGTATTTTTAATTTTAACATAAAAATTACTTTGCACACAGACGATTCAAATACTCAATATATTCACAGACAAATCTTTATTTTATTCTATTAAAAATACTTCACTAAGAAATACGAGTTTTTGTATATGAAAGATTTGTCATATTAACTGAAAGACTGTCAAATTTCGTGACGATATACCCACTATATTAACAGTTATAATTATTAAATGTATAAAGACTTTAAACGAGTACAAAAAGGTCACGGAGTCAGTCAAATTAACTGATCCTGCATTGAAAGTGTTAAGGGACAAACCAAAAGCTTCGAAGTGAGGATTACCCCACTAAAGTCAAAGCCACTGGAAAACAAAAGGATCAAGAGACCACTCCATCAGATAGATTTGTCTGGATGTGAAGATGATTCATGACAAGTGCAAAAGCACCCGGAATATGATGATATTATATGAATACCGAAGGCATGGGCCCAAAAAAAAGATCTAACGTATGAATACACAGGGATCGAGAACAGGTGCCACCCTTGTGATTGAGAGAAGCAACCACTGGAGAAAAGTTGGAATGGTTCATTACCAGACGATTTCTGATCAAACAGAGAAAATGAACCAAAGCACAACTTACAATAATAAGTTCTAGGATGTTGATATGATAAGACCTCTCGACCTCAGACCAAAACCCATATCTTCCTGTTGATCGACCTACACATCCCCTCTCCATGGGATATCTATGAAATGTGGAAATTTGGATGTTGAGGAAGAAGTGGGACACCCACCAACATGCGAGTCATGTCTAACCATCAGAAAAAGAATCCCTTGTGAGATTCCAATGGTCATGAAAAGCCAACAAAAGAACCCACATATGAGCCTGACCTAAGAGGATAAAGGCTACCATTGAAGATTACATTCCCAAAAGATCACCAAAGGGTAACAAAATCATACAGTCAAGCTCCCACCAGACCAGACCCTTCTGGTTACTCTCTGGTGCTGTTGGCAACATGCCCATCTAAAACGACATGATGAGAAACACCAGGGAGGAGGATCAGGGAGGGGTAGATAAAGACCAGAATGGGAAAAAGGAATAGGGGCTTGTTGTGGCTCCAAATGTTACAAATATGGAACCAAAGAACAAAAGGTAGAGTGTTGATGCACAAACTACGTGTGATTCCAAAGACACAGATATATGATAGAAAACATACCGCCAAATAAAAAGATCCATATGTAAATCCCTAAAATAAAGAGGTAGCAAATGACCGGGACAAGGTCAAATTATGAACCAGAAGACCACAACAATAGTGAAACTACGTGTGTAAAGCAAGAGCCGAAGACGACAAACAAGCCAACATGGAGGTAATAAAGAATCATAGGAAACCAGGGCAATGGATAAAACATTACATACCTGAGAAATCATGCTGAAAAATGCCATATTATGCCTATCTGATTCTACAAAAGGGGTAGTGGAAGACACGACAAAATCCAGTGGTATAAAAAGGCTATCAAATCTTTATTGGCCTGAACAGGTTCAGCTTGTTCCAGAGGATTAATGGGGCAAGTTCAGGAGAAGGAGATTGACCCATATAATAATCAATCTCATGGTGGATAATAGCAAAGAAATCCAACAACAGGTCTCTCCCACCTGCAGCCTGTGAAACAGTGCTAGAGGTATGATACCCGAAGTGTGAACATCAACCTCAGAATTCCTTGTAGAAATACATAAATCAAACAAAGTGTCTGATATAAAATATGTGAGTGTGAGAAAAAAATAATAGACTGCAAAATTAAGTTAATATAAGTTAAAGAAAAAAAAGTAATGAAGAAATCCCACTTCAGAAATTAAATGATTAAAATCACAAAAGCGAAGCACACAAAACGAAAAACATCTGAGTACTGCCAAATAAGAAGTGATAGTTTGGTAGAATCAATTCGAGGGAGTCAGATGCATCATGAGAGTATATTGCATTCTTTTTTGGTGGAGGGTTGATGCATGATGATTTGCATGAGAGATGCATTGGAGTCAGTGAATTCCAATGGAGGGGAGATAAAAGGCTTGAGGCATGCGATTTTTTTTTTTTTTTGCATACAGATGGCAGCACTGAACAAGAATAGCTATTTATGTGAGTGGAGGTAATGTACTGTATCGGATTTCTTTTCATATAATCATTATAGCTTATTTTGAGGTTAATTCACTTTGACTTATTTTGAGTTGCCTTTTCTTTACTTTTTGCATCTGCCTGTTGAAGCTTTTGTGTATATAGGTATCATATCATTATCATACCTGTGATCCAAGGGAAACAGTTATTAAAACTACAACCTAGTTAGTTGGCTTCTAGCTTGGACCGTTTATGTTTCATTTTGAAGTTTGAATCTATGAAAGGAAGACTGTAAAAAGAATGGAGAGTGTTGACACACTTGAAATAACAGTATTTTATGGAAGTGATTTACTGCCAAAACTTATATACTGAAATTTTTGTCAAATTTCAATTCCAACACAGTTCCACTTCCTATTAGTTACTTTCAACATCTCTCTGTCTCTCATCTTTTTCCAAAATGTTTTCCCAATGATTTCAGGAGTTATTCATCATCAGAATGACACTGAATTATTAACATGTTTTCCTTTTTTTGTTTAGAATTTACAAATACATTAATAATAAATCACTAACTCATTAACACACTAGAAGTTCTCTTTACATCATGAAGTAACACAAACAAATAGGTAACATACTTAAATAATAGTGTGCTACATCCATTTGGTGTTGTGTTGACAATCACATCAGCATCTGGACCTGCTTCTCGAAGAATCTGTTTTGCTTTTCCAACACTACCAGTTTTACAAGCTTCTTGAAGACCTAAAGCACATTCAAGAATCTTTAAGTAAACTATCAACTGAAACAACAACTAAAATAACAATTCCAGGTAAGAGAATTTAATTTAGAGACACATAAGAGAAAGTAGGGAGATTTAGAAATAGTGCTTCATTGCAAATTTGAGGTCAAGTACAGATATACATGTAGCTCATTAGTATTCTGTGAATTTAACAAAAAAAAAGTAGTTTAATATAATTATATCACAAATATATTAATTTACTCTTTAAGCAATAGTGGATAGCAATTTATTAATTTATAAAACATATTTCAAGCTACATATTACTACATTCACAACTAGCATAAGTGTTAAAAGTCTTTATAAATGAAAGTTTTATTGAACTAATTCTCTTGCATGCTTATATATATAACATGTAAATGCTGCATCTGTTCTAAACCATAAATGGGTAGGCTCATACAAACTTTCCTCACAACAAATATGAAAACATGATAATAATAAAAAGACGCTGTATGTATCACTTTCATACCAAACCTCATATTAGAAGAAAATGTATACTGCAAGCATTTTTAGCACAACAAGCATAAAAGTATAATGAAATAACAGGTAACATAGCTTTTAAAACATACAATACTTTTGTTATAATAAGAATGACAAGTCACAGGGATAGCACTAGTCACCTTGGGTAAATGTGACATTTATTGAGAACTGTGAATTATTGGATTTGGACAGCCTGGAACAGGACTTTGAAGAAGAAGCAGCTGAAAGAATTAAGTGACAGTTTCAAGTAAGGAAAAGCAAATAAACACACTCTGTTTGTGCTCAGTGTCATTATAAAGACTGTTTAATTCGCATTTCACTTTGTGTACAGTCTCATTAATTCATGTACATCACAACTTAATTATCAAAAGATTGATATCTTGACCAAATCTTCAGTTATTATTCAGACCTGTAAAATAATTTGAAGGTTAACTCAGTTTTACAAAAATATACCACAGAATGGATAGATAAAAGAAAACATTTGTGCTGTGACTACAAGATATCATATTGCAGCATTTGTTATATGTGCTGAGGTGTGTACTGCCCTTTGCTTCTTCTAAACTTGTTTGGTTAAGTCTTAAAAGGCTTCACAGTGAAGGAAATGACATTTTTAACAACTTGAAAGACTTACAACCAAGATGAAGAGTCAGTCACCTAGAAGGATATTTGTCAGCAATAACTGCTAGGTCTATATAAAGTCCTCTTCAGGATGTCAGACATTCCCTGATGCTGCAGTTGTCCATGACTTCTATCTCACTATAACCAATGACTCATGAAGAGCCACCAATATCTGGTGCACAAAGAATGGATGTCCTAAATCTTTCTAAAGAACTTAGTAAAAGGGAAACATAGACGATCAGGATCACTGTGGTGGTGTGTACAGGACTCCCAGATTTAAGCTAGTTAGAGTAATAAAGCCCCAGCTATGGTCAAAGCCACTTGAGAGAGACTGTCAGTACCACTAGTGAACAATGTCCATCAACTAGCAGATGAGACAGCAAGCACCAACTGGCAAAGTGAGTGAATCATGGAGCAGTGGTGACATTCACTGAGCTGATAGGTGTACTGCTAAAACAGTCATAGATCATGGAGGACCTTGGGGTTGAGCAGTACCTATGGATGAGCTTGCTTGTGCAAACTCATCATTCTGCCATCCTAAAGCAGGGACCTACCAAAAACATCTTGATCATGATCATGGTTCACTGTGAGTGAGAACAAATAGGTGACAACCAACATTCAAAGGTACAGTGAAGGATAATTTGGTCCATTCATTTTTGAAATTTTTCAGGTAAGTAACTGCCTGCAATAACTGGGCTATGGAACAGGCTGTACAACATTTAGTTCTGAGTTTAGACAGTTTTGCCCTAGACTCCATCAAGCACTTGAACAAGAAGCAGCTCTGGGACTATGAGCCAGTCACTACTGACTTGCTCTGGAGGTTTGACCAGGTGGAAAATAGAGAAATTTATTGAGTTGAATTTAAGGCTCAAAAGCTTAATCCCTTATGCAGATAATAGACACAGTTTGCATGGTATGGGTTATCCTGGAATGGCCTCAGAAGTTCAAAAGGTATCCTCATTGTATAGTTTGTAGAATGGTTACTTAGCAAGACAATATGCCATCAGTTGGATGAAAGAGATCTTCGTATTCTTCCTGAGGCAGTTTCTCTTGCAACGTGGTACCAAGAAGACAAACTATACCTCACAAACAATCAACCACCCACATAAGAGAGCTTCTTACTTTTCTTGAGGCAGTTTCTCTCGAGATGCAGTACCACATAGTAACTTTGAGTCAGATGCTGAGAGGAAGACAGACTGTCCTATCCAGGCAATCAACCATCCACACATTCCATTGTTATGCTGCAATCACACAAGTTTCCAGTGAACAGGCATGGCTATCCCAGTCCTCCCATGATTTTATATGTTGCAACTTATGCTACCAATGTCTCCATCAGGGTGTTATCCTAGAAGAATTAGAGAAGCACATGCTTTGCCTATGGAGCATCAGGTTACTTTAAATAAACTGCCAATACCTAGAGAGCAGGAAGGTAGACAAGGTTATCAATTTCAATCAATGATGCAACAAATACAGGATAATCAACAGTGGGCTACAGACTGAAAACACTAGAGGAGTCAAACCTGGCCACCAACTTGGGTAAGGCCACAAGTTCAACAAAAAAACTTCCACTGAAATCATGGTGGTCAGTCCAGCTCTCTAAGATCTGAGTGGTTTTGATATGTGCCTGTTGTAGGAAAATGGTAAGGGATAGCCAGAATATTGGAAGATCTTACAATATATCAAACATACAAACGACCACTTTGACCAGTAGTTGACACATACAAGACAGAAGAGGTGCTAGGATAAGACTGAGAAGGAATTAATGTACCAAAGTGGAGACTGGATGCAACTTTAGTATAGGGCAGCAAAACAGAAAACTCTTGGTTCATGTTTGAAAAAGACGTAAATCTTGTGCCAGTCCATTACGAATAAGGTAGATGTTACGGCAGTCAAGGGATGCATGCCAGCATATAGTACACTTCAATCAGACATGTCCATACATGACCAATGAATCTCTGTTGAACTGGCTTGACCAAGAGCCATCATAGGAGGTAATTGGGTCAGAAGAGGTTGAACCCACTGCTTTATCCCACTCCAACCCTAAAAATGAGGAAGAAGCTTAGAGTACATATCTTGCTATTTAGAATGAGTCAGGAAAGGAAATGAAAGATCTAGTGGTGCAATTCAACTTAAATGGTCCACAGAACCTCTAACTCCAACCTTCTAATTGAAATGGCTGGATTTAAGCTCATCCTTACAGATAGAACAGTCCCTGACTGTAGGATCACTGACTGGAAAGAAGTTGTGATCCTGGCTTTTATACAACCTATTAAATAAAGTTCATCATACAATGTATGCATTATATGGTGCAAATTCAACTTGATTACCACAAAACAAAGACAGCTGGACAAGTTGATATAATGCCTATTACACTGATAGTTTAGATGAAAGAAGAAAATAACTAGTTTAAAAACTCAGCTGAAAGGTGTTGCACCTTGCTTTCTGAGCTATCAGATAGTATTTTAAGGTGCAATGTGTACTCTACATTTTATGATTTCAACTCAATTTGGTTTGTTGATTGCAGCATTAACACTGACCAAAGGCTTTTACAATCCTTACTTTCTAAGCAGTCAAACAGTTTCACTAAAATATATGTCCACAGAATATGGGATGATAGCTTTTTAACACTTTTGAATCAGCTGAGTTTGTGGCCTCAATCTCAACTTTATAGTTTCCATACTATAGCTTCTAATATGTTTTGTGTATCTTAACAAAATTTTTAATAAAGTATTTTGCCTACAAATTTCTCCATGAATATATGGAGTCAAAGTGTTGACTGCTTTCAGTGATTTTCATATTATGATTAAAAATACATTTTTTCAACTCAAAATTTTCTAATTTCATTTGCATAATCTCTAAAACCTCCAAAATAAATTTCAAATGTTTTGTTTCAGGAAAACTTTATATTTTGTCTGTTATTTTCTCTACCTTAACTCTATATGAGAATGGTCAGTTTGACTAACTTCATAACCATCATAAAAAAATATGAAATAAATCAAGAAAAATTCTTCTAGTTTTGTTTTATTCTCTTGTGCTCCGCACGTTCAGAAAATGTTAAATTTGTTGTCTTTGTAGTTTAAACATTTCTTGGCTCATGCTAACCTTCCATATTTAGAAAGAATCTAGGTTAACTGCTCTGTTTACACATTTTTCTCTCAAGTTATGTAGGGCACGTTTGGTGAAAGGAGAAATAAATTTCTCTGAACTCTTGGTAGATGCCACAGCCACTTTGTTTACATAGTATTGTGATTCCTCAGTCAATTATACTTAGTTGGGCTATATGTTTATAACTAATGGAAAGAGTGCTTTTTGAAATATGTTCTCTTAACTGGTGCAAAGAATTATATAGACTTTTATAGCAAACTAGTCAAACTGCTCTTAGACTGTTGCTGCTTTGTCCATGCCACTTTATCATTATTTCTCACCTAGAAATATATTAGTCAGTTAGAAAGTTGCATTGTATTTGGGTTTTAGTTTTATATTTTACTTAATTATGTGTTATTTATGTTTTAAGATGAATACTTGAAAGGTTAATCTTTTTTTTTTTTAATAAGTCAATGCCTGCTCAGTTCACAAGGGATAGCATAATACGCGAATGCCACAATGTTATGCCGAAAGTTTCTCAGCCCACAATACAGTAATACTGGCCAGGGACATCCATTGACATGTGTTGTGATAAATATCAATGCTAAAGGACAGGAAAAGATAATAAATTATTAACATAAATTATATATGAAAATATAAGTTGTTTTAAGATTATTTCACAAAATATTAAGAGATATGTACCATTTTCCTATGTCTTAATTTTTAAAATTTTATTGTTATGTACTATACACTATATAGCACAAACTGACAATAATAACTACAGTTAGTAATATCACAGAGAAAGTGAAATATATATATA